GCTTTTTCCTTCCTAGCGCAGCACTATATGTATGTACATATATACCGGTATGAATGCATGTACATACATATGTACACATTGCGCATCATTTCTCGCATTTACTTTTGGTTGAACATTTTTGTTGCCATTTCTATTCCGGCATATTTAAGAAATCGAAAGTTGGCAACGTATTAAAGAAATTAAGGACTCAATTGAATAATTCAAATACGTGCGATAATAAAATTCAGCGTATCTATCAATACATACATTTAGGCGTTTGTGCGCTTAAAAATACAATCTCATACAAACACTTGCGCAAATGTAGATATATGTATGTATGTGTGTATATATGTTTGTATGCATGCATGTAGTAGATATGTGTAAAAAAGGGTTAATGCATTTTAATATTATTTGTAATTCAGATGTCACTGGGTCAATAGTCGTAATCTGTGTACTTTTTACACCTTCATTTTTATATAAAATAAATGCACCAAAGGCAACCTTTCATGTGAGAAAATTTTGATCTAAGCAAATAATGAAAATCGCTTTGCAATGCAGGGAGAATAAAAAGTATGATAATTGACTTTAATGTACTTATGTTGGTGTGTAATTTAATTTCTATAAAAAGTAGTACATACATACCAAAAAGGACGCCGAATAAATATCCAGTCTTAAATAATTAACATTTTTATTAAGAAATGTAGCGATCTTCTCCTTTAAGTACAGATTACAAGGCCTTATAGAGCGTATTGTATAACAGTGTGGCCTTAGGCCTAATAAATCCACCATTTCGAAGTGGTTTTCGATAGCACAGACCGGGTGGAGAAGGACTTTGCTTCATTTGGCATTTCCAATTTGTGTCCGTAGTTTACATATTGCACCGAAACGTGGCTACATTAACTAAGAAGGTACTATCAATCTACCAAAAACCACTTGGAATTCACGCGGAGTGATCCTGAAACTTCTGCAAAATGATGCTGGCCCATAAAAGGCCCTCCGCATTGTAATGCAGGTATTTCCAATTTAAAGCTCCTCCGCCCACCGCAGAAGCTGCTTAGTCTTCTTTCTACTACTACCATATGCACTATTATGTAATATAAACTTAGTTCCCAAGAAACAATTAATACACTAAAAATTGCTTAAAATTGAAGCGTAGAGGCTTCCAAAATAACGTGAAAGAGAAAGAAGAAAATCCGATGGAAAATTTGAATGCCTAATGCCGTCCAATGAAAATACACCACAAATGCATGCGTTCAACAAACATGGAAACAACAACAATCATTATAAGTACATATACATATACAGCCGAGCTTTTTGTTCAGCTTAATACAAACGTACAAGCCCCCAGCAGGAAAATTTACCAATGAATAATGAATTATGAATTAATATAAATATTTGAAATATTTTCTAAGCAACTTTGAAAAAAAACAAAACTTTTAAATACTCGTACAAAACTGTGTGCTTCACCAATTGGTGAAGCCAAAGAGAGCCAAAAAGAGTTATACCACTTTCCCACGGCAACGTGAACTACTTTGTTCGTTCCCCCAATTACGATCGCGATACCACATTTACACGAGTACATTCTTAAATCGTTTTGACAGTTCTCTATCTGTGCTTTTTTTTAGTACAAAATTTATGCAAAATGTAAGTTATTGGTAAAAATAAACAAATTTATGTATTAAATTCGTGATGTATACTTTTAGTGCTCAGACAAAGTGCCAGTTTTGATTTGTGAACTGGTTTCAAAAAATTTCCGATTAAAAATAGAAACGGCAGCGATTTGTACGTAACTCGCGTGGTAATTGGATTTGAATTACCAACAAATGAGGTAATTCGCTCTCAAAATTTTGTATGGCGAATTACGTAATTCGAAGGGTAACTGGAGTGCGAATTGACTCGCGACTGAGGGAGCGAAATACGTAATTGAGGTGCCGTGGTAAAGCGGTATTGTGTTCTCGTAAACGTAAGAAAACTCAAAATTAAATTGATTTTATTAATTTAAATATTTCCTGCCGGGGTTAGCTGTCATTCGCAACTTCTGAACGCGAAGTGAATAAAATGTTGGTGACTGTGCTCGATGAGGTCTGCGGTGGAAAAGATGAAGTGAATTATTCGGCAGCAGCTGTGTTTTGTAAATGGCAGCTAAGTAAGTGAGATTTGTTATTTCCAATGGGTTGCAGCCAAATTCACAACAACTACCTACCTATAACAAAGTGCACAAACAAAGTGGCCTCACTAATAAAACCCAGCAAATAATTAAATCATGCAACAACAAATAAAGTGTTTAATTTACGAATATGGAACATAAACTAATTAGGAATGAAATCAGGCTATTTGGGGAAGTGGTCAGCATGGGAGAGGAGCGGTACTCGTATAATGAAAAAATTTAAGAAATGGAGCATAAGACGAGTTTATCAACATGAATTATAAAGCAAAATTTTGGACAAATATTTTTTTGCGTTTTTTTTTTTTGGAAATTAAAAAAAAGCAACAAATTCTAAGTGGTAGAATTGGTCTGCCTGAAATTAACATTTGTCAATGTGACAGAAACTTTGATCAATAATGACTAAGGTTATTGACGCAGTTTTACCAAACCGGTTTCCAGCGGGTTTCTTGGATGTCTATAGGCGGTTTTTTTGAAATATTGATTTTTCGAATATCGAATAAACCGGAATTTTTTCCATCGAACAAATCGGTTTTATTCATTTCCTACAAATCTTGACGACTCAATAAAAAAATTTTGAGTTTTTCAAAGTTTTCAAGGCTGTTTGCAGTTTAAGGGAAACCCCTAAATAGTTTTAAAATTATATCGTATTGATTCGAATAATCGGTTATGCATTTTCTATGTGTTTGGACGTGCTTCTCCTTCAATTCGTGTTCTGCTTCTTGAAGTTGTGACACAAATGGAGAAATCTACACTTTTTTTCTAACTCCGAAGAAGCTTTTTAATGGCAGAAGTATCTACACCCGGAGGTTTGCCATTTTCTGCCTCGGGCCGACCGCGGTTTGATGTAGCTGGAACCTGAAATGGAACCATGGGCCTCCCGAGTGGTAGTAGGAACATCTAAACACTGGACTACGGTTTTTTCTTAATTTCAAAGTGATAACCGGTTTATTTCAAATTGCAATTTTTCAAATACATAACTCTAAAACCGGTTTTCGAAAAATTCCAAATAATCGAACACCCAATATTCAGGTCTTATTAAAAAATATTATTTGTTTTTTTTTTTTTTGGTTTAAAAAACCAAAATCTTTGTGATTTTGTTTTAATTTTGTCGCATAGGCGCACCACATCTCTCTCTAGCTGATTGACTCGCTGGCTGCTTGACTGAAAATCATTAAAAATTTAAACGCCGCCTGCTGTTCTGCTATGCATGAATGAATGAATGATGCCGATGGCGGGTGCTAAGTGGCAATAACAGCAGAAACAATATTAGTAAAAACAACAACAAAAGCAACAAGAAAGCACAAATGCACTAGATGGGTTGGATGGCAACAACAACAACAGTAACAAATGCAAGAGTCGATCGTAAAAAAGCAGTAGGTGGCTGCTAGCAGCTGGTAAATAACAACAAATTTGCTGGGAAAAAACCCAACGCACATTCAAGCACCTATGTATCTAAATACATATATATGTGTATGCGCTTGCATATATGCAAGCTGCAATTACACAGGCACATATATACATAACGACATGAACTCCATCCTACACAAATACTAAAGTGTTGCTATTGCGCTAAATGGTTGAGGCTTCACTTTCTGACTGGCACTAATACAAAGTAAAATAATAAACACACACACACATGCAGGCAGACGCAAACACCCCTGCGCGCAAGCGTCCCTGCAGAAAAAAATTATCAATTGATAAAAAATAACCCACTTGTAAATAGTTTTTTTGAGGGTTTTCTATAAAATATATAACTTGTAGTTAGCTGCAAAAAGCTCACTTGAAACTAGTTGACAAGTAATGCAGGATATTGTTTTCTTTAAACGCATTTCTAATTAAATATTCTGCACTTCGCAAATACTTTTTCGAATTGAGGACAAATAAATCATTCATATTATCATTTTGAAGTGATGTCTGATGGAGTTCCAATATGAGACCACCTACAGCAGAATATGTAAACAAATATAATATGTAATAAAATAAATAAAGTTAATAGAAAAAAAATAAAAAAAATATAAAAAATATTTTGGTTTACCTTTTGAGATTTTATGTCCAAAAGTAGTTAGTTAAAAGTTAGTTACATCAAATGCAGAGGTAACCACCCCTGACTATTTAGCGGTCATCGCCATGGAAATATAGTTAGCGTTCGTCAAAGAAAATGTACAGATAATAGCGACTTTTAGCTCCTTCCTAATCAACTTATAGTTAGATACATTTCCTGCAGGGGTATAACACGTACGCACATACTCCAGTACATTGCAACCTCCTGATTAGTTGGTTGTTTTCATAAGCTGTATGCATGTATCTACATATGTACGCGCATGGGGATGTTGGTGGTGGTGGAACCGGTGGCAGTGGTACTTGTAGTTGTTGTCTCTGGATGGATGGTGGATTTTCACAAAAACAACAGTTGCATGCGTGCACACAATCATAGATACACACACACATATACACGCACATAAATACTAGATGTTGCATTCATTGCCTTTCACATAGACGCGCTGAGAGTAGAGTAGAGCGCAAGAGCTCTTGCACCAATACTAATGCCGCAAAGTGTGGGTGCGCCACGACACACACACAAACACACACCCACATGCGCGCGCAACAACAACAACAACAGCAACATGAACACAAATTTTCATAAATCCAGCCATTCAGGCAAGGCAATCCACCGTTCCGACGCATAGCATACGCGCGTGTGTGCGTGCGTGCGTTTTCGGTATATGCCTCTTTGCTCCTTCCCCTGCCCCGCTTGTACGCGCATCTTCACTACTCCTTGCTGCTGTTCGTTGCGTTCAGACTCGAGGTGAATGTTATTTCAGCTACAGATTCAGTATCTGACGTGTTACTATCCCGAACGGTTCGCTGAGCTCGGTGAAGTGCTGTAGTCAGAAAAGAAAATAAAAATAGAGAAATTAAAAAAAACCAACCAAGGCAACAAGAAGTGGACAAACAGCTTCTCTAAAAGTGGAAGGGGGAAATAAAAATAATATTGAAAAGTTATCTGTATATTAACGACAACCACTGTGCGGCGCGGCGCGGTGTGACTACTTCCCATGTCACTTTAAAGTCTCGTCGCTAATTGTTTTTGTGTCCGTTCGTGACGCTGACTTAGTGAAACGCGTAAAAATAATAAAATAACATTTTAACTGCAAAAAAAAAGCAAATAAATAATCGCAAAAGAGGCACATCTACATATGTATGTGTGATGCGGCAAGCGCCCCAGTTCGGTGAGTGTTTGGCCAGACGCGTCAAGAACCTGCGACGCTGCGCGCACGTCTTTAGCACCGGAGTTTACTTAAAAAATACAAACAAGTGAAATTAAGTAAATATTTGCTAAGCAAATAAAGAGTTTAGCGAATAGGACTTGCGTTTAGCGCAAACAAATACGCGCGCGACATGCCGATGCGGCAAAATTAAACAAAAACAGCAAGCTAAATTGTGCGTGTAACATTCGCAAAAAAAAAAAAGAACAAAAACTTAAGCAAATATTTTGAAATTTTATTTTTATAAACCAAACTGTGCTAATAATAAACCATAGCAAATTTGCTTCGAGTTGAGTGAATTTTTACTTTCAACAAAAGGGACGCGCTGGCCGATAGCCAAACTCATCAAATTCCGCTTGAGACTCATCACCTCAATTATTGAACAAACAAACCGGCCACCGCAATGCATACGCTCTTTAGCGATCAGAACTCCTTCTCCCGCCATTACGCGCAGACCGCCGGCTACCCCAGCGCCGCAACTGCCGGCGCTATGACAACTGCCTCGGCGGCCGCCGCTGCCCATTACGCGTACGATCAGTATTCGCGCTACTCCTACCCGGCGAGCGCTTACGGTTTGGGCGCACCCCACCAAAATAAGGAGATCGTCAAGCCGCCCTACTCCTACATCGCGCTCATTGCCATGGCCATTCAGAATTCCGCCGACAAAAAGATCACCTTGAATGGCATTTACCAGTACATAATGGAGCGCTTTCCCTACTATCGCGACAACAAACAGGGCTGGCAGAATTCTATACGACACAACCTCAGCTTGAATGAGTGCTTCGTGAAGGTGGCGCGCGACGATAAGAAGCCCGGTAAGGGCTCATATTGGACGCTCGATCCCGATTCGTACAACATGTTCGACAATGGCTCGTTTTTGCGACGGCGTCGCCGTTTCAAGAAGAAGGATGTGATGCGCGAAAAGGAGGAGGCCATGAAGCGACAGGCGATGATGAATGAAAAGCTGGCCGAAATCAAGCCGCTCAAACTGATGACAAATGGCATTTTGGACCACAAGCACATGGCTGCCCATGCTCACTTCAAGAAGGAACCGATCATGGAACTGGGTTGCCTCACCGGCAAAGACATGCACACTGGACTGAGCACCGCTATGCTGAATTCATGCCACGATAGCTTGGCGCAAATGAATCATCTTACCGGCTCGGTGGAGCATGCCGGCTTCACCGTCGACTCACTGATGAACGTCTACAATCCACGCATACACCACAGCGCCTATCCCTATCACCTGAACGAGGATAATTTGACTGTCGCCTCAACGCAAATGCACGCCCATCATGCCGCCGCCGCGCACCATGCCCAACTGCGTCATCATCATGTCGCCCACGCCGTCACGCATACGCATCCGCTAACGCCGGGTGGGCACGCGGGCATACAGCTGGGCGGCACAACCACCTTATCGTCGGGTGCATCGCCCACAACGATCTCTACGCCACATGGACCCACACACGGCGGCTGGTACACACCTGAAACGCCACCATCTGAGCCAATTGGCAATGGTGGCGGTGGTGGTGGCGGTGGCGGTGGCGGTGGCGGTGGCAGCGGCGGAAGCGCAGGTGGCTCTACAAATGCTGGGACGCCCAACAACAATAATAACAACAACAACAACAACAGCAATCATAATCATAACCATAACCATAACAGCTCAGCTGGTGGCGTGCTCGTTGGCAATCACAACCACGCATCGGCAATTACGGTTACCAGCAGTCCGTCGGCTATTGTCGGCGGCGTTGTCACCGGACACACTTCGCTGGGTTTCCGCGATATGCTCTTCGAGCAGAATCAGCCGTGCCAAATGGACACGGGCAGTCCGAATGGTAGCCTTCAATCCGCCAGCCCGCCGTCTAGCGCGAGCGCAGCGGCCGCGTCAGCAGCAGCGGCAGCGTCGGTGATCAGCAGCCATCATCATCACCACCATCACCATCTAAGCGGGAATCTAGGAAATCTGAGTAATCTAAGCAACTTAAGTCATTATCGCTCGCACGTGAGCCACTACCAAGACTATGGCATTAAGTATGGCGTCTAAGATGGTTGACGGCGGAGGTGTGAGTGGGCAACTGAGGTGCTGATGGTTGCAGTTGGGGTAGCAAGTGAAGACGGCCAGATGTGCCGGTGGTGATAACAACGCGGTGACGCGTGTTTCAGCGGAGCTTCTTGCCATTCGCATCGACAAGCAATGCATTTGTGCGACCGACGGATAGACGAATATTCGGATATAATTCATTTGAATCGACAGTCGCAGCAGACTCTTCAGCACTCATCTCGGTACTTAACTAACAACAATTTGATAACAACGATCTTTAATTACTTTTAGTAGTCATTCTCAGAAAACAAACTAAGGTATACGATTTTACATTCTAAGTGTTAAATTTATGGAGAGAATTTTTTATTTAAACATATTTGCAAGCCAAACGATCGTAGATAAATTTCGTAAATTTTTTCCACTTTAAATATTTTCCTTAACCTTTACCCATTTCTCAATTGCGATCACTTGGCATCCATTTCACATGTGCATTAACATTTGTTCGAATAATTTATTTGCATAGTCACCTTGTTATTTTTAGTCACTTTATTACAAAGAAAAAGCTACAACGCGCTAAAAAAAAGCGTAAAATTAAAATAATTGTTTAATAAAAAAAAAAAATTGAATGTGTGAATTAGCATACAAAAGCAGTATGTATAAACACATTTGTTGTTGTATTTTAAGCGAAGAAAATATTTAAATTTATTCAGCTGATAAGTTTTAGCGAATAGCAAAGAAAATTTGTGATGCATTCGAAATAAAATCTTAAGCCTTTTATTTTTAACTAACATACATACATACATACGTACGTATATACATAGATACATATAGACAGTTAAATAAGTGATTGTTTGTAAAATAATATATTAAATTTAACTTTTGAATAATATGTAGCAATAACAATAATTATTTACGCTATTACCATTACAATTATATAGTTACATATAAGCAATTTCAAAGTAATTTAATCAAAATAACGAATTTAATATTTAGAAAAAAAAAATCTATGCACAAATGGATTGAAGAAAATACAATATACATACGAGTATAAGAAAAATACAACACAAAACATATTAAGCTAAAATATTGCAAACAAATTACTGGTTTCATTTACACAGGAATGTTGTATTAAACAGATCATTAATTAGTTGCGCCATGCGTGTCAACAAATGAGTTCTACGATATCGCCTTAAGCTAGCAAGAAGTGGTCTTGATTGGCTAGCGATGAGGCCAGCGTGCTGCTTTCGCATATGGAACTCAACGAAAATTGGATTTTCTTACCATCTATGTATTCCGAAATCTAATTTTATTAACCTTGTGGAAAAATGTGGGAATTAAAAGTCTTTCCAAAAGGCCTTCCACAAAGGCATTCCTTTCTGCTTTATATCAAATATGTTTTATTGCAACATAAAATCCATATTGAAATGAATTTTAAATGCTTAATAGTACAAACTCAAAAAAAAATCGCGTAAATTGTAAATACACTCTAAAAAACCTGTTTAAAAATGCGACTATAAATCGAGTATATTTAAATTTTTTGGTAAATTCACACGATGAATATGTATTTTTCTCGTTTACACATTTTCGTGTGTAAAAATCCTTTTTGTTAGCAGCTTTACACAATTCTACGGGTGAAATCAAACAGCAGATGTGTATTTCGCAGCTGCTTGTACACACTTTCGTAGTAAATTTACGCACACCACAGCAGCTATAGTACACTCTAAAAAGTCCGAAATTTAAACAAACTATTCGTTGAATAATCGAGCATGTAATTTCGCGAATAATAAGGTAGGAAATCAGTAACCTACTTTTTAGCTAAAAAATCTACAAATTTTTTTTTTTAGAGTGTACATTAAGAACAAGTAATTTTTAAGCAAAAAAAATAACCGACTTCAATTCTCATATAAAAATATAGGAATACCGTTAAGTTGTGCATGATCCAATGATCACATCTAAATTAGTACGGGATCATCTATGAGATACTACCTTTCCGATGGAAAAAGAATTATCGAAATCGGTTGACGTGGTCCAAATTTATGCGGTTATATGCATTAAAAAAAAATATTCCGACGAATTTATAACCTTATCCTTTTTTTGAAATCTGGCTAAAAAGTACTAAGATATTTTCAGACATTGTCATTTTCGGTTTTTCCATGTTGTTGATTAAATTTTTTTTTAACAGAAAAAGTATTTTTTTAAACAAACTTAAACATAAATTTGTTTTTGCGATCACTTTCATCAAGCATCAGTTCAGCTCAATAAAAAAATGTCCAAGCAACGTCACCCTGCAACTGTAAAAATTTTGTTCGAAATTTTTATCGAGAATGACTTCAGCCCAATAAATTTAGTAAATTCTTTTATTTATTTATTTATTTTTACTTGTTGTCAAAAACCGTGTTTTTGCAAAATTGTAAATTTTATTGGAGATTCCAATAGAATACCTATGCAGAAAAAATATTTGTTGGGAGAGATTTTTTTTGAGGCGACAGACCCCTAGAAATTGGCGTGGCATTTGTAAGACTGAAGTTAGCAAAATGCAGATTTTATTACGAATTTCGGCAGAATATCCGTTCGTTTACAGTCTTGGCTATGTAAATCAAGGCCAAAAAGTTCAACAGCTTATAGCTAAGATAGCATTAGGACAATCATGACCATCTGATACATAAAAATACTAAGCCCGTTTCTTTAGCTTTAAAACGACGTTAAGGTGACGTCTCTACGACGAGCAGAACCCGAGATATAACGATTTGATGAAATATATATTTAGTCAGAATTAAGAAAAAATCAAAACTTTGAAGGATCATATATCCGAAGAAAAAAATATGTAAAAAAATCCTCGAATACGTGTTAGCTTAATTCATGTATCATAAAAAAGTTTGAATCGAATCGAGACATGACATCATTTTTTTTACGAAATTCGTCCGACTTAAAAAAGAATGCCTCATATACAAAAAATTTCCAAAGACAACGCGAGAACAAAGTATGTTTTTTAATTAATTTCACACAAAAAACTAATATAAAATAAAATTGAATTTCGAAGAAAATTGTCCACTCCCTTCACTGAGAAAATAGTTTTGTTTGGAGAAATAGATTTTGTCGACGTAATTAAACTCGGCATTTCACAGTGTTCAAGACAATGTAATAGATGGGTTTAAAATTGAAAAAAAAAGGTATGGAATTTAAATGCCTAAAATTTGCAAAGAAATCTGTCAGATAAGCGAAAACTGCAAGAAAATTTTTGAGTCAGGTATTCTTCAAGAAAATCCAAGGCAAATACTTTCCAAATAACCAAATCTAACGGGTTATCCATTACGCGGTTGTTATAGTAGAGCCCCGCAGTCAAATGTGGTCATCCAAACTGGTACTTCGGATCTTCACTTTCGGAGATTATCTTAATTAGCGGAATTTCTGAATCTGGGCAAGTGTGTAGACGAATGTACCCGATGACAGACCATTGCGCCCGCAAAAATAGAATGTGTGCATTGTGTGCCGGGGGGTCTTCGGACCGGACTTCTTCGATAACGATGAACTAGCAGGTGTTACCAGCTACTCTCAGCGCGAGGTCACGTAAAATAGCATAGTTCGAACTTTATTATCAGGAATCATCAAGAATTTTCGGTATGATAAATTTTTTTTATTTAAATTTCAAATAATAATTTTACATACCTCTGAAATCTTAAAAGATGTACAATATTTTTTATATCATTTGCTGTGGGGACAGCTGAAAAATAATTTCTTTTGAAATCTTAAAACGTAGAAAATACGGGTAAGTGCAAACAAAAGCGCGGCAGTATGGAATAAAAATTCCATCAATCCCTTAGTGAAAAATATTCTGTAACGGCAAATGGTTACAAGTAAAAATTTATCCAGTAAAAACTTGCGTTGCAATTTCAATTCCGAAATTTTGCTTTCTCATTTTCTCCTGCTTTGAAATTTCTTGCTTGCTTTAGCTTAATAATCTAATAAAACTTAAACACACATATGTACCTCTACAATGGGAAAATGGTTAACTCTGTATACAAAATTAAATATTTCCCTATATTATACTTCCAGTTTTTTCGTTAATTTCTCATTTAAAATTGGTTAAATAAAAAATTGGGATTTCTCTCCAAGAGAAACCGAGATTTCCGATCGAAAAATATTGATTTTGAAGAATTCTTTACCATTTCTACGAAAATTGTTTCTTACCCTCTAAATATTTTTTGCTTTCAAAATAAAAAAAAAACAGGGGCAAATTTTTTCGCTATAGAACAATCCTAGGTGTGAGAGCATTAAGATTCCGACTTTACTTTTTTTTTTTTGACCACCCTAATGTAGATATTCGTGCATTTATTTTATTTGTCACATTGAAATAGGAACAGGTTGTTTTGGTCTTGGATTTGCTTTGTCATCGCTCCTCAATACAACTCTCTACCCAAACCAATTCACCGGGGAATTTGTATACTTCGATTGGTTGTCGTATTTCAAATGTAATTCAATATAACAATTCAATATTCATTGTTTTGGCATTTGGTTGGCGCGTAATAAATACATATGTACATTAGAGTGGTCCGAAAATATTGTTTCCGAGATAAGGTTTGTGGGTACCTTCCAAAATTTTTCCTCTTGCCGAAAGAGGTGCTGATACCAAACTTTACGTTTCTAAGTATAAATTTCGAGGGTGCTCATTATGCTCGAATTTTACTCTGAAAGTAGTGTGTACATATATTAATCAAACAATTGGTTAAACAACCTAAGAACATTTCAAATTTAAATTAGCTAAAAAAAATATCACAAGCTACAGTTGTCATGGCAACAGTAGCTTTTTATAAAAATCAGCAAATTTTTTGCAAGTTTTACAGCAGAAAATTTAAAGTTGGTATAGATATTACAAATATCAAAAGGCAAAAACTAAGGGGGTGCCTCGTTTGCTAGGACGAAGTTTTTTTTTGCGCATATAAAAATTGGACCACTCTAATGTACATATGTACGTATGTATCTACGCACTATGATGGTATGTTTTGGTATTGTAATTGAACAACAGCCGTTACTTTGGTGGTTACCCAATATGTCCATTGTATAGCGTATCGACTGATGCCTGATGGCTGATATAAAAACACGTTTTAATTTAATTGAATACTTTCATTATCGATGTATCAATTTAATAAAAAAATAAGTATGTACTTACTTTCAATGAAGTTTTACATGTATGTACATACACATATGTCTGTATGTACATAAGGTCGTACCGGAAAAAAACTTCGCCGTACACCCCTGAGTGCAAAGTCTATTTGCAAGGTAAGTCGAAAAATTTTTTTAACCTAGTCGTAGGTGTAGACTTTTTACATTTTTCGTCATAAATATCTTCGGCATTTAGAGTCGGATCCTAAAGTATGATCTATCGATGTTCTTGTCGTGCGGAGACGGTTTACATATTTGTTCAAAAGTTCATCGACCTAAAGTACCGCATTCTAATACATACCCACCAGATCTCTGTTCTTTCCAGCCAAGCGTTCCACCCTAATATCAGTAAATTACAGCTCACCACAAATTAGAAAAATTTTGATGAGGGAGTATTTTGATTATTTCATTAGAACTAAATACTTAAGAAAAATTTTATTGTCGAATTGTAAAAATCCGACCGCAGATTCATTTAAAAAACATTGTTTTTCGAAATTGCCCTGCAAAAATACTTTAGACTCAAGAGGTGATGGGGAACTTTTTTCGTTTGCTTTTAAGGTGGTACGGGCTAATATGTAAATATCAATGCGAAAATTTAAAAAGTGCTAAATAGTAGGTACGCCATAAGAATTTTGGCTCGAGGAATGGCATAACAAGT